TATTTGATTTGATAAATATATTTGTGAAAGATATAAATGATTATTCTCCTAAAAAAAATGTTATTCGTTAGATTAGTAAATGTTAGATTACTTTAAAAACATTCGTTTGGGCAACAAAATTCGACAAATCCATGGTCAATCTAGCTTGAACCCATATTTACCAATCGATAGCGCAATAAATCTCTACCGAATAATCGATGATTTTGCTACTAGTTCTAATGTTGATTCAGTTTGAACGGGGAGTGTCTTAAAGAAACAATTTCACTTAATATTATATATATAATATTATTAATTTTTTACAAATAATTTAATTACCTACTAAGACATATTCAATTTATTGCATTTTTAAAGAATAGATTTACATGGCTCTTTTAAAAGTCTTGTAAGCAATCAATGGTCCAGACAGATCAAAATGAAGTTTTGGTTATGTTCTTATAAAAAATGTAATATTAATATGTTCTCAATATCATAGATTTACTATCAACACATAAATAGTAGACGGTTATCTTATCAAACAACCTTTATATTTTGAAGTTCCATCAATCATGAAAGAGTTAGTGGTTGTCGGCATATATTGCTTTGTTGGCTAGATTTGATATGATGCCACTATGATCTGATCTGACCAGATCATTATGATGTGCGTGAAATATTCGGCCTTAGGTGTATTAAATTATCTTACTAAGATAGTGCTGTAATAACTTTGCATTATCTGATGACTTATGAAAACGCAGAACTGTTTTTAGATTGACTGAGAAAGCTTTGTTCGGAAAAGCAGTGTCGTTGAAAGCCAAAACTGCGTAAATCACACCATTGCATTCATTAAAAAATGAATCATTAAATAAAAATAACATCTGCGATGAATTTCGAGATTGATTGCGAGGTTCAAATTGTTTAAGTTTTTGCAATAAAGAAATTATATTCATTACAATTACGGTAGATAATATTTGCTTAATAGAAAGAATTGATTTATTAAGCATTTGTCAAAAATCTGTTCAACACTCTCGTTCACTTAAAACAGAAAGCAAGAGTTTTTGGAGATTATTATTCTAACAAATGCAAATTTAAATTGGAAAATAGATTGCATAAATTCCATGTGGTTTTATGAAAACTTTAAAAATATGTCACTTTGTATCTTAAGATAGGAAAAAGTTATTCGAGAAAGTAATTTCCAACGGAACGGAAAGGCACATTGGTTTGTTGCGCATTTTGGGAAAAATTTATCACTGTCAACACTTTGATTGTCAAAAACTTATCACACATTCATTCAATTGGTGTTCTTATACTATCTTTTCACAAATGAATTGATAGATATTCAATGGGTTCAAATATCTTGCGATGAAAAGTTGCTCTCTTGTCCCCATGCAAAGCAGTTATTTTCTTAATTTTATTGGCATATTGGAATAGTTTAACCAGAGTCCTTTGTAGTAAAGTTCAACTAAATTTTAATACTGGAAATAAATTTATTTTCTTTTAATGGTATTTGCTTAAAATAAATTTAGCACAATTTCTAGTACATAGTAACTATGGCGATTAGTGGTGCCTTATATTCTAAAATGGTACGATAAATGCATAAAAATTTTTTTATTAAATTCAGCTAATTTTAAACTTTAGTTTAACTTTTCTTGTATTTATTTTGATGAGTGAATTCAATTATTTTGTAAATATTTTATTCATTGTTAATCTCGAAGATTTGTGCAGCCGTTATTGTTGGTACTTATTTTCAGAGCAATCACTTGTTGGTTCTCAGGATTTTAATATTGAACTGTGAAGACGAAATTATATAAAAAGTGCCACAAAAATTTGAATTCCATCAATCAAAGTTAAAATCTTTCTCCAACTTTCTTTCATTGAAATTGATTTCATTCAAGATTCAATAAAACAGAAATTCCGATTCAATCAAATTCGGTAATTCGGTGCGAAATACCACATTAAAAAGTTGCCAACAAATACGTAAAGAAAAAAGAAGCGCAGAAATCGATTTATTGTAGTTTTATTTTTGTGTGGAAAATTACATAAATAAGTAAGCAATCTATGGTATGTAGTATTACAGAACGTCTTAAATATAGTAGACTTTAGCATAAAAGTATTCTATAATAAACACAACAATACTAATTGATATACCCACAATCCATATAAGCAGAATGCCAGCAAAATTTGCCATATCGAGTTTTGTAGGACCTAACTTTAAGGTTGGATTTTTTGATGACTGTATTTGTTCCTGTTCGTTTTCATTAAGATAAGTTGCTGAGGCCTTCCACTCCCAAAACTTGGCAAAACCAGCTGAACGCCAGGTAGAAATAAGGTTATTAAACTTACTCAAAAAAGGCCACAAGCGCCGTACTATAAAAGTTGTGTATTCATAGTAGATATCATCGTGCATAATTTTTAGACGATCTAAGGCCTCTTTAGTAATATAGTATCCATTAGCGAAGTGACCTAAAAGTGAATAAATAATTTTTATATAATTATTTTCACATTGATTATTTCTAAAAAAAATTTGAAATAAATTTTTCTAACCAAATTCCAGACGTTCCAAGATGAAACCCATATTTTCAGTTTTGGCTTTTATTTTCATTTCTTCAAAGCTGTACGACTTATATTTATGTAAAAGACCTTGCGAAATTGGCTAATTGTAACAAATATTGCATTTTTTAATTTCTTTCTTTCTAAATATTATAGGTTTTTGACAACTTACATCAGTTACTGTTCTTAAAGGAAAAGTCCAATCGTCAGATGTACCGCTCCATACCAGACCGTGTTCATATAAACGTTTCATAGAATCAGCAGCTTCACCAAGTCTACAATGATATTACATCATTAGTGTATATGGAATTATTAAATTCAATTGTAATGGCAGATTTATTATATCTTTTCTTTCTCATTATATTAACCAAATTTCATATGTTATAGCCATATGACAACTGTGAAAGTTTCAACGTAAGAAGTAGTGATGGCCCTCTGTCGACAAGGAAAGTGTTAGATAAAACTTCTTCGTGATAATGTAAATAAATATAAATTTATTGAATAGATATTTCTATATATATATTAGCATGTGAATTCAATAATCATCTTATTAGCTGAATAAATTAACTTCTAAATATATTGCATTTAATACTTAAGTTCATTATTATACTTACGTTGGCAGTGTTAAGATAGACGCTAGACCTCCACCGTAGATGCTAGTGATAATAATATCGATCACATAACAGGAAAATAGTATTACTCGCACAGATGAAGCGCTAAGAGTTTTACCGGAACTTTGTGACACAAATAATTTCAGAGTCGTTACTAAACCAAAATGAAAACTTTTAGTCCATGACTTCTTTGTATTCTCCACAGAATTCCCGAAATGGTAAGTCATTAGTAATCCAATTGTTTCTATTAATAAACAAGCGAGAATTCCACACCAAAGAAGTGTTTGAAATGGTTTAAATGGCAGGAACCAACTTGTTACTCTTGTTGGAGCCGGTACCATACATGTTACACCGGATCTCCCAGTTATAGATGTCATGTCCACTGATATATAACACATGTACCTTAATAATTGAATTTAGATATAAGAGTGTAAGAGAATTTTTAATATAAAATTATCAAGAGACAGTAAATTCGTGTTAAGTTATAGGAACAAAATCAAATGAATATAAGTGAATCATTATTATCAATGCCTAATCTCCAAAAAAATCATTTTTAAATGATATAAGTTTAAAATCTTTCCACTTGTGTTGTCTTTATGAGCTTCACAGTAATTGAAGTTATAAAAAGACAGTCATTATTTTACATAAAATTGATGGCTAATTTACCACAGTTAGAATGATCAAATTTAGGTCAAATATGTACCGTTTTGTTCGATATCTTGTTTCTATTAATTATAATTTAATTTCATTGTGCATCTCTCATAGATGTCATCGTTCCTATTGGCAAAAAATTAACACAATCGATTTCCACAAGCCTCTCTTGAAGCTAATTTTTCACAAGAAAACTCGTTCATTATGAACAGGAACATAGGAACAAATGGTAATCACTTGGTAACAGGTCTGGACCATAAGGTGGATGTGTAACAGTTTTCTAATTAAGCTTCCGAAACTTTGGCAGAGTCATTATCAATGGTCTGACGTTTTCCTGATGGAACACAATTCCAATTGCGCAAAGTTGGCCATTTCTGGGCGATTGCTACCTTCAGATGGTCCAATTGTTGACAGTACAGTTCCGAATTAAGAGTTCTGCTGTAAGGTAGCAGTTAATAGCATATGATTCGCTGCCAATCCCAAATAACGAAACCTTCCTGGCCTTCAATCCTGGCTTCGTCCCCATTGCAACTGGCTCACCGTGATTCAACCACGACCGTTTTCGTTTGATGTTGTCGTAAGTGATCCTTACTCACTTTTCATTACCAGCTACCAAACACTCCAGAAATGGCTCGATTTTGTTACGATTCAGCAACAATTTGCAAATGAATATTCGGTTCATGAGATTTTTTTGCGTTAACTTGAATGGCACCCATACATGTACCTTTTTTTTGTATCGAGCCTTATTTAAATGGTTCCAAATGGTTTTTTGTGCAATTTTTAGGTCTTGGGCAGTCGAAGTGGTGACGGTGACTTACATGACAGTCGGACTCGACAATTTCGATTACTAGATTGACGTCAAATTTAACGAAACGGAATAGACGAAATCGAATTTGCGCATGATTTGTTGCTACAGATCAGGACCAAAACATTACATTTGTCAAATGGCATATTTTCTCTTTGCTAGTGCCCATCTTGACGTGTGTTCAAACAAAACTAAGTCCACCAATTAGCAAATTGTCAAAAGTTTTTTAGTACGAAATCTTATTCTTTTAACGCCATTTAACGTTACCCGATCGGACTTATATGTACTGCAGGATACAGATAACTAAAGTCAATTATTGGGAAAATACTGCAATGCTTTTTAGTTCATTAAATAAATAAATGGGTTCTTGGGCTTGAAATGGTTATCTAAAATGTCTTGTCATCATACTAGTATTCCTTCAACTACCATTTGTATCAATATCACGCCATCGTTATTTCTAGAGCAGTTACTTTTAAACTGAGCTTAGAGATCTAGTAAATACTAGAATTAAGTGCTTGAAATGGATATTGCAAATAATTTAAATTAATTAATAAGATATTAGTATCTCATACAACTCTACTCTTTATCATATAAGCTACTTTTCTGATAATCGAGAATATCACGATCAGACTGAGAGAGTAGATTCTCATTTTCAATTCGATTATTTTATTGTGTTCCTTCCGCATCGAAGACATTTAATACCATATCAGTGGTTATGTGCCCAATTTTCATATTTAACAATAGCACTATTAAAATATATTATATAAACAAAATTGATTTCATGAAGATTTTGTGCAATTTTTAATAACTTGCAAAAAACAAGCTATGATATCTTCAGTGAATATCGTCATCATTTTTGTGTGGAGCAACATAACAGTAGAATGCAATAGAATGTAGAATTGTTGTTCAAATATATATATATAAAATTACCATAAATAAAATGCACCCATTCCAATATCAACTTGTTTAGAAACAACTAAGCCTAGTATTCCATCACCAGTACCATTGGGATATATGAAACCCCATTCAGTTTTCTCAGCTTTGTTATTTATTGAAGAGATAAAGTCAAAGATATTTTTGCGTCAATTGGAAATTTTAATCAATAAGACTATGATTGATGAGACCTACTTGTATCCACTTGTACAGTACAATTATAAAGTTCACAAAATATGAGCACTAAACGTATTTCAGTGCCATCCATGTATATATCATCATTTGCATTTCTGGATACGTCGACCATATTAGGTGGCATATCCTTAAATTATGTTAAGTATTGATAGCAAATTTTGAGATAATAAATATCGAATTTTCACTCACATTGCTAACAGCAACAAAGGGTCTATAGTCAAATGCCGATATTACAATTCCTCGTCCTTGTAAATTTACTAACTTGTCAGGATACAAATTCACGCCTTTACTGAAAATATTAGATACAGCATCGTAAGTGTCAATTAGTTGAATATTACTTTGATCTTCTTTAGACGAACCAACAAATTTATTAGTTTTTATTTTAAATACAGAAGATTCTTGAGTTTCTCCTTCTATTATTAGAATATTTGGTTGATCTGAAAAAAAATTTTGTAGTGACGGCGAATTCTTCAATTTTATGAAAAATAATATTTTAATTTAAAGTGCAATTAATTATTTTGTTTTAAGTATCTATTCACCTCTAAAGATAAACGGTTCTGAAAAATAATTTTCATGTTTTAAGTCATTTCGGTAGATAAAAAGGAATTTGTTGCGCATTGAACGCCAAATAGAGTACACGCTAGACTTTCGAAAGGATCTGGCAAAGGTAGGTATGTCATCCTGAAACACAATGAATACCTAAAAGATCGAAAGAGTAAAATATATTATTTCTAATATAGAAAAATGGCTTAATCCACCTCACAGCATGTATTTTCTATAGCCACTGTTAATTTTTTATCCAAGGTATCATAATCTAAATTATTTTCATTAAAATGTTTTTCCTTGTTTTCATAGCTATAGATATCATTCGGGAATGATGCATTGAGGTTCGCTACCAGAATATTTACAAGTGGTCTCACATTAGTATCTGAGTTCATTTCTAATTGAAAATCTATATCCTGATTCCAAAAAATACATATTGAATACGTGTCCAAAAGATATTTTTGTACTGAAATTGAAAAATTTTAAATTAATTTATTATAATTATTAATATTAATATTATTAATTAATTATAAATATGCTTAAGTACAATAAATAAAAGTAATTAATTAATATATTCTACAAGTACCTATTAAATTAATAAGTTTCGACCAAAAATTTGTTGCGGGTATCAACATTATGAGGTTAATATGCTTCAGGGATATGTAGTAAAACTAAGCAAGTTTTTTATATTTTCGTCCTTATAAAGGACTTGTAGCTGACTTTTATATGCAGATTTACGCATTTATTTAATTATGCAATCAACTGCACGCATATTTGTTCATTTGTTCATATTTGCATTGATTTGTCTTGCATAATTCCATATAAATCGGAGCTATTAATTTAATTTATTTATTTAGCATCAGATTGCATTTGATTTTAATAATTGTATTTGCCTTAATTTATTTATTTATTGCTTTAATCATTGACTGCATTAGTCATTGGCTATTAGACTTTAAGCTGGGCCTTAAAAGAAGAAAGTTAGTTATATATGCATGATTTTCATATATATAAATTATTATTTATAATAATAATTTCTTTTCATTAGCACTTAAAATGGTTTTAAATTTGAAAATATACGTTAGATAGTAATTAACACCAAGGAACTATAATCCTTCCGGTTTTGAGGACAACGTCTATAACTACATTATTGAATCATGACCTAAACTAGTTTTTCTTTAAGGCTTATATAATGAAACATGCGTTGATTCTTTGATAGATCTAGTCTATTGTATTAAATATAGGATACTATACACACTGACTCAAGTGATCTACAATCAGTGTTCACAAGGTTCAAAAAAGTGACCCTCATATTGTGCTAAAAAGTTTAAAATGTTTCTTTTCTAACTAATCTCAGATTAAACTTATACAACAGTAATAATTTTAGTTGGAGATTATTTAGGAAATTCCGATAAAATAAACATTTTAAACTTGAGTCAAGAGAACACTTAAGTCGCTATGTAAAGATTCTCCTGTATATGGTAATATGTACATTTGATCTTTTAAAAAGAGGTTTTTGCTGGAAATTTTATAATATAGTTCACATACTAAAAAGTTAATTATACGTAATAATAATTTAGATTATTAGAGTGCTAGAGTGGTACAAAATAACAATTCTTTGACTTGGGTTATTTCTTTTCACTGATTCAAAGAGAAAGGGAAGAACAAGGAAAGCTATTGTGTTACAATCTACTATGACAGTTACAGTCCACACCACTTATATGAACTTTTAACCTAAAATCAATTAAGGATTCTATGTAACTAAGCAATATTAATTTAGGAATCATGACTGAAATTCTGACAGGGCATGCAGGCTAAATAATTACCTTACAAAAATTAGAACTAACTCTAAGCGAATTTGTAGGTTGTGCTGTGAGTTTGTCTGAGAGAAGTATTATGAGATAACTATCATCTCATATCGGGTAGAGAAATAAAACGCTGTAATGTAGACTAAAGACAACAATTTATGAAGAAAATTGATTGACTTGGACAGTTACTCCAAGTGGGTCGCAATGCAAATACCTCAATATATTTGCATAAAATAATATAAATTTTTTTTTAAAATTAAAAATATGATTTCAAGGAAAAACAAGTCTTTGACATGATTTATTTAGATTTATTATGGATTATATGCCGATCTCAAATATTGGGAAGAAAGACATGAAACATTCGAAAATAATGTTCAAATAATTTCATGTGAGTTTCATATTATTGAATTGGCAATGTTTTTCCATTCTTCATTAGACATTTTTCAATGCTTATCACATTTGATCTATCAAATTCGAACATCTAGTTAAAAAAAGTTGCTCTGACCATGTACTAGTTAAATTGACCTGATCATTTTCTTAGAAAAATATTAATTCATATGGGAAAGGAGATATGAAAACGCACAAGTGGTATGGTTGAACCAACATGATGCGACGAATAAGAATATTTTGACGTGAGATTTAGTAAAAATCTAGTTAAATTAACCAAATTATTTTTCTAAGTGTACTTACTGTATGATATTAAACATTTTGTCAGATTCCGGCTAATAATTAAGACCCATCTTTAATCTTTATGTTATTTCCTCTATTTTAAAAAATTGTAGCAAATTGATTGAAATACTTTTTAGAATCTCTGAAACAATCACAAGTGTTTGTATAGTTTGTTAACCAGGAAGGAATATCTAGAAGCCAAATCATTCAAATTACACCGTTCACATTATGTAAAAGTCATCAACATAATATTATTGGACCTCTTAAGGTTTAGGGATTAAAAAATTAGGATCTGGTACTTTTGCCATAAAACTATGGCAAACAATTTACTAAAAAGCTACTATATATAGTACCGGTACCTTTACGCAATAATACACTAAGTTAATGACGTAAAAGCTTTACTGTTGTAGTTAGGAATAGAAATGAAATGCGTGTCCGTACATTTCGGATGGACTATTCAAAAGTGAGGTGATTAACAATCAAAGAATAATCTATGCATCTAAAAATTGTGATCTAACTAATGCTTCATTTTCACTATACCATTTTCAATGTCAAATATTGTCAGTATAATGAAAACCGATAGTCATATGATGCCATATTCGCATTCTTGTCATGTTATAAAAGTACATTTGACACACCAGTCAATTATAATCGTCATTTAAGATGACATAGTAAAGCAAGGCATAAGAATTTTATTTCGTTTGACAGTAAATCAATTTTGTAGTAGCAATGGAAAGGAGATCCTTAAGCTCAAAATTTATTTAATTATTACTTACTTATTTATTTACTTGTTTGATCATAACAATCCGTTACCGGGTTTCGGCCTGACGCAGCATGTCCCTACAGGCACCTCTGCTTCTTGCACACCTTCCCCAGTCTCGTACATCAAGTCCGGTTATTGGTCTCTCAACTTGTTAATTCGCTGAATTATATTAATGTCGGGATAAAACTCGTACAGCTCATGGTTCATTCATATGTCGTAGTCGTCTCCAATTCGTAGAGGACCCAAGATTTTCCGAAGAACTTTTCTCTCGAACACTCCCAGTGTTGCTTCACAATTTTGTGATAACGTGCATGCTTCTGCGCTATAAAAAAGCATAGAAATGATGAGCAACCTATAAAGCGTAAGTTTTGTTTATTGAGAGAGAGCTCTACATCTCAATTGCATACTGCGATTCTTTACTGAAAGCATCACCTACTGTATGGTGACATCGGTGTTATTTGTCATGGCGGTATCAAGGTAGATAAAATCATTAAAAGATTCGAAAGTATAGTCGACAGTCACTAGCTCGGCATCCGAGCGACGAACATTTCTACTACTAGTCTGCTACTTCATTTAATTATTAATCAATTAGATTCTTGGTCTGAATATACAGTTAATATAATTTTATGATATTATGATTAAGTAACGAATATTTGCATAAACACAGCATATCTGAATTCTTCCATAAAAATAATCTTGAGAGTGTTTCAAAAGTTGAATAAAAAACAACTGCAACAACTGCTCTACTGAATCAAATACTTTCTGATATAATTAATATTTATAGGGATTTTTCCACCCGTACTCCACAGAAAATGAATAATTTCCTTTTTATTAATTTGCACTCTAATTTTCGCTAATGCATCAACGGATTAGTGCACATGTACATTGTATGCATCCAGCTTCCATTTTCAGATCTTCCACGTTTGCGGCATGTATATATGTGTATGTATTTCTGTACATGCATAAGTATATGTATTCAAATATATTAAGAATAATGGCGTATAAAAAATTGAAATATTTTTAGCACTAAAATAAATTTGAATAGCAAAACGAGAAGAAAACAAATTTGAATTTATAACAAAAATTTTTGTACTCAATTTTCCACTGCAGCTGCAATTCACAAAAAGCAATGAACGCACTAGGGCGGAGTGGAGAAATAAATATCCTTTGCGTATTGTTAGATGCATCTGTGTGAAATATACTGCAAGGGGAGTGAACTGCAGTTCATAAAGGAAAAATGATAAAAAGGAAAACTTCATCTGTGCTCATAATGTTTGACATTTAATCAAGTTTGCTGCGCTTAACGTAGCAAAATGCCGCAAATTTTTTAGTTTGACAACAGCAACGCCACATCATTGCCATTCTGTTAAACGCAGCAACATCAACATCAACAGTAACAGCAATAGCGACAGCATCAGCATCAGCAACAGCAATATAAACGGCAGTGGCAGCAACAGAAATAACGTCTGCGTCAGCTGCAGCGCGGGCAGGCGACGTTGTTAATGTAATTTCTTTCCAACAAATCTTCTGGTTGCGTGAAAAATCAGTTTCTTGCTGCGTTTGGTACAGTTGCAAATCATTGAGTGACTGCGTTTCACACACAGTATAGCGTGTGTAGCGAATGCAAGGATGCTGGTTGAAAGGACCTGCCTGCGAAGGCATGTTTGAAGAAATGCACAAAACGGAAACTATTAACCGCACACCTTGAAGCCAGGCAGGCAGTAGATTTGATAGCATTTGTCAAAATGTTTTTCACACAAAATATGCAAATAATGAAAAGAAAGGCAGCATTACAGATTTATTCAAATGAAAAATTCTCAACCGTCTTTTATTGCAAGTGAAAAGTGAAATATGCTTCACATTTACCGAAAAATGTTGCTGGCTCTGATTTTGTAATTTAATGTCGTAGCTTGTGTGGGAGGGAAATTACAAAAATTTTGCTAAATAAATTTAAAATCAAAACCGCTTAACATTTCTCAAATTTATTTAAATATTCATACAACAGCTAAGCATCAACATCGGCAACATCGGCAACATCTGTAACATCAACGGGCAACGGGCAATGGGTAACAGGGAAGAGCAACAACAACAAATAGCATGGCATTAGCATTTAATTATGAGTTTGCATAACAAAAAAAAATTATTAAAAAAATAATAATAAAATATGAAATGCTGTAATAAAATTATTGCTCAATGAAAACCACAAATTGTTTGCATTTCAGCAGAATTGCTAGTAAATTAAAAAATTCCAACAGGTAGAAACTGCAAGGATATGTCGGAACAAGGCGCATAACTGCACATGCCACAACAATAACAAAACCTGAAGCCTTGCAATAATTATGAAAACTTCATTTTTCTCAACAACTTACCTTCCTTCGTCTCCCTCCATTAAAAGGGCACAGTACTGTGTGTGGTTTTGCTATAATTTAACTTCAGTCATTTTTGGTATTTTTAATAATAAAGAACAAAGTTAATAGAAGTTTCTGCGGTATGACTAAAATTTGCAAGCCCTTGTTTGCTCTTCTTAGTTGCGGCTTAAATGGTATCTCGTGAGCTCCATTAGTCTAAGGACAAATGAAGCTTTTTGAAATGTAAATATTTAAATGCAGTCACACGGTTAATGAATATTTTTTTTCTTTAATAGTAGGTCAACAACTATCAAAGTTGTTATTTGACGGGGGTTCAAAAGAGCTGTAGGATCAGCCCAAAAATTCATTTGTTTAGAGATTGCGCTTGTTTATACAAATTCATCGCATTTTCCCCTTAGATTTTTTTTATTAAAATTTTGTCAGTCAAAAATTCAATTAATTAATATAGTGTAAAAAATAAAATTTTTGTTGTTGTAGTTCACTACTGTTCGAAAAAACCTCTTTATTAAAATATTGTATAATTGATTTCATATACAGTATATTCGAAGTGCGATAGAATATATAGAGCAGAAAGTTAGGGCTACAAAATTTAATTTTAAATGGAGCTGTATCGCAAATTACCATATATTCACCCAGTCCAAATTCACAAAACCGACAAGATTAGTCTTAAAACATAATATCTAATTTTTTGTTGTTTTTTTATATTCGCATTTATTTGAAATATTTTCTAAAATATAGTTGGAGTTAACACTGCACGGTTAACGTTCACTGATTTTTTCAAAACATTTTTTATGATCATCGCCAAAAATTCTCTTAAGTATAACGGTTGAAGCGTTTTAAACTATTGGAATATAATTGAAAAGATTTTTTACTTTTCCGATTTTTCAGTTTCGGAAAGAGCCGAAGGTCGCGCGGGAAAAAAAAAACAGGTGGATATGGTGAATATCCTTTGAAAAAGCAGAATTTTTTGATTTTGAAAGTGAGATATGACAAAAGAAAGGATGTTCCTTAATAAAAACTATTGTTTTAATAGAGAAACATTGTGAACAATAGTGCATAACAATAACAACAACAAAAATGTATTAATTATTTAATTAGGTCCCTTTACTCCTCGTAGGATCTATGGGCACTGATATAATGTATTCTTTAACTGAATTTTCGAATTATTTTTTATATTTAATTATGCATAAATCATTTTTTGAGACAGGAAGTACTAAGGTTTGAACTCGTGTCCTGCCGCATTTAAAGTTTAGAGTCAGTGTTAATTATTTTTACTTTTATTATTAGTATTATTTTTATTCAAAAATTCAAGTACCATAATGGCTTTATTTGATGTTACATTATTTTGCTTTTACGACCAACTGTTTTGTTGAAATATGGCCCACAATTGCAGTAAAACCTGCATTAATATTCTGTATTCACTATTTAAAAACGCTACCTCGCTCACTCTCTACATGTGCGCCATCTATTAGGCTAAAAAATTATGTACTCTGTATCGTCTCTGTGTACAGTCTTCGTCGCCATAAATACAATCGGGCACCTTTCCAATACGGTACAGGTACTAGTAAAAGTATCCGTGTCCGGTTAGTATTTGAGTCAGATAGTAATTTGTGTCTTCCGATTTCCGTTGGAGACAGATATTTATATTTGGATTTAGTCTAGTTGTCCATCTCCCTTGTGTGCTGTTGTTCCACCTTTGTTATCAAAACTCGATGGTTTGCTCCTGATCTCTTGCAGGGTACTGTATGCTACTTACAGGTATATCATATTTAGAGTGATATTAATCTGGTTTCGCTTTAACATGCTGAGCTCCTACCCTCTCACCCAACCCTTAGGCCATTGCAGTATTAAAAGTAAATAAAAGGTGCTTATATTTTCACATTGAGTCTCATTGTTTATATATTTTTACAAATTAAATATATTTTATATGAATTCCTTGAAAATCATTGTTATTGCTCTTGAATTCTGATATTAAATTCTTAGTAGCATCGAGCATTTGCACATATATGTCTGTGTAAAATTTATTTTATTATAAAATAAGAAATATTTTAAGTTAGCTTAAATGCACTAACACACACAGAGTACATTTTATCTGATATATTTCATAAATTTATTTTAAATTAAATTAAAGAAAATATTCTGAAAATAAAATAAATTTCAATGCTGGGATTATATTTTTTAGTGAATTTGCTTTTAAGTTCTTATGTGCTCTCAAACGTATTATGCATCTCCTCCATTGAGGCAAATATGCAATGCTTCCGAATGTTCTGCAGTACTTATTTGCTTAGAATTAAAATAAAATTTTGATTAATATTTTATTTGAAATTTTAAGGAAAATATTTGTGAAAATCTGTTAGCAACGAAACAAATGATTTGAATCAAAAGTAATATTGTTGTTTGGTTTTTGTTCAATATCACAAAAATGCGTATTCTAGTGAGAAATCACTTAAAAGAATTTAATATAATTAAATATTATTTTATTTTACTTTTGAAAGAGCTTCATTTCATATGATCTTATATATAATATTTTATATACGAGTATCGATAAAGCAATTCAATTCAATTTCACTAATTGTTTATGGAGTAAATACGAGTAAAGTGCTTAAAAAAATTTTAAATAATCAGTGGTACGTGATACAACTGCGGCAAGGCAGCCTTGCTCTTCGCCATCATCAATTAATATTTTAAACAAGGACTCTTACAATATCGTACATACGCCACATAAAGTTTCTTCGAATGAAGTAATCTTCACATACGCATATGCGAAAATACGAATATGGGAGTATGCGGATAGCGATTTAAATTTCGACCCATCTCCAAAGGATCAAGCAGGAAGCCGCATGCATGTATTTTTCAAGAAGACTTGCACTTACTTATGAGCGAAAATCCGTGCAGCCATTAAACATAAATCATGTTTTTGTTGAGGCACTCCATCGTTTCGCAATATTTCGGGATGCGTACATTTTTTGAATTGGACGAAAATGCATTATGAAGTGCAGTTCTCGTTGCCTTCGTTATTGAATGCAGTTTCATTTCTCCATAATGTGGAAGCTGTTAATGCTACTGAAGTGCAATTCTTGTGCACTATAGGTTCGATTTTCTTTCAGTGATTTTATGCTTAAATGGAAAAAGAATTTCAAAATACTGAAATAATGGTTGTCTGCATTGCAAGCTTAAATGAACGCAAATTTATCGATGTGTTTATATGGCCACTTAAAGCTTAATAAGGATGCGTTTGTGCATTCGTATGCAGTGTAATTGCATCTACTTCAATCAAATCACATGAACCATAATCGTGATTTTCTGAACAGAAAGTTTCTCTGTCGCCACTTCAATAGCTACTGTTCATCGAATTTGTCTGTGATTCTTACTCATACTTACTAGAAACATACCAAAGAGATTATAGGAATACAATAGCATTTGAGGCATATCGGAAGGCAGGTTGAAAACATTGTTTTGTTAATAAACAATTAACCCCCAATAAATCATCGTTTAGCCTTAATATAAGAAAATATCAATCTATTTTTTGTAACCGAGCGACTTTATATTCATCTAATCTGTGAGTTAGCATGAAGCTTAATTTTCTGTTCACACAACTGTTGCATTGTCCTATCAGTGAAACTTGAGTTCAATATAAAAAAAATTACATGGTCTTAATTTGCAGGTACAAAATTTAATGCTTATAGAAGAATTACTATATTCCACATCCTGACTATTGGCTATAAAGTGGATAAAGTAAAAATTGTGATAAATAAAAATCTGTTGACGATGGAAACAGTAATTTTTAATTATTCTAAGATATTCTCTAAATTCTGTTTTGAGTTTTCTCTGGATTGAATTGATTGCTGTCAGTATAAAAGTTCAAAAAAGTCGAGTTTCTCAAAAAAATAACTATACAACTCTTTACCTGGCTCTGGCATGAGGTAAAGCAGAACAGAAACTCTGACAAATTCATTACCGAAAACCAACTGAATTAGTTTCATAAACCAAGCTTCATAAAATTAAGTTAACGTTATTCATATCGAATAGATAAAGCCTCTACATAGCCAATGTATTCAGTATGGCCTTCTACTTATATAGAGTGCCAATTGCAAGGCGTCATTAGGTGAGCAGAATACCCCTTATTCAGTAAGATAGTTGTTACTACACAAAGGTACTTTAGTGGTCTGCTACAGGATTTATTTATTGATTTATTTGTTGTAAAATTGTGGTTATCATATATGAGTAAATAAAGTTATAAAGCCTTTAATCGAGTTTTGCTAACATTGTATTTTTTGCATTTTAATTATTTGG